GTGCTCATGCCATCCTCCTGCCTCAGCTTCCTAGGGTAGCTGGGACTATAAGCATGTGCCGCAAAGTCAGACTGCTTTTAAAAACTTTTTCTAGAGATGAGACCTCTCTATGCTGTCCAAACTGGTCTCAAACTCCTGGCCTCAAGCAATCCTCCTATGTGAACCACTGTACCCATTCTATTCTATTCTATTTTAAAAAGGAACTTTATTGAGGATTTAAAGAAAAAAAGAAAGGAAAGGAAAGGGAAGTTAGGTTTATGATTTAATGTTGTGATTTTTTTGATTGACACATGTGAACTTGGCCTCCCTGAAGGCTTCATTCTGCTGAGCAGAACACTGCATATCCTAGGTCACAGGGGGCTCACCCGGGTACAACTGCTTTGTGTTGTCACTTTCAACTAAGAGCTATCACTGAGCTCTGTGAAAGCCCTGCTCAGATGAAACGGTTGAGGCCAGTGCGACAAAACACCCTCAGGGAGAGGAAGACAACTCACCTAGAGGCAATTGCATGTAGCTGTCAGTAGGTGGTCCCAGGCGTGTGCAGGAAAGTCGTGGGGGGTTAGGAAGGACGGGTTTGGGGAGTGGCATTGCCATTGTACAAGCTGCCAGGGAAGACTTCACTGATGAGGTGACATCTGTGTAGGCACCTGAATGAGGACAGCACTGTTCAGTTTTCTGAGGGAAGAGAGTTCTAGGTGATGGCTTACCATCACTTTCGGTGCCAGCGTGCATTTTGTTGGCAAGGCCTTGCTAGAGCAATGTCTTTACAAATGTTGGCCAGCAACCTGTGGCCATCATACCCATTTTCATAAATAATATTTGATGTTATATCCAGAGAGGTAACATACTCTTCTTGGATACAATAACTACTTTTCAAATGAGCATACTTCCCAGATCAACTTCCTTACAAACATTGGGTTTGGAAGGACTTAGTGATGTGGAACAGCAAGACATTAGCATCCAAGATGGTTGGTAACATTTAAATTCACCAGTCATTGGCTGTGCATGGTAGCTCATGCCTCCCACTCTAGAAGGCTGAGACAGGAGAATCATTTGTGCTCAGGAGTTTGAGACCAAGCAAGACTAAGATTCTATCTCTGCTAAAAATAGAAAAACTAGCCAGACATTGTGGCAGGCACCTGTAGACTCAGCTACTCAGGAGGCTGAGGCAGGAGGTTGTTGTGACCTATGAGGTCAGGGCACTGTACCCAGGGTAACAGAGTGAGACTCTGTCTCCAAATATATATAAAATAAATAAATACATGTGTCAAATAATGTCTTAGGAACTTAGTTTTTCTAGATCCCAATCCTAAACAACACAGGTTAAACCAAATTTGGGGTTCTTGGGATAAGATTTTGGACAAATCTTTGCAATGCCCAATTCAGACTCTGCTAAGCCGATGTTCCATCCTGGCTTCTCCTAAGAGCCAGACTTACATCCTTCCCAGCTTATTCGTTTCCAATTCCCTGTTCTATCATAGCCTGTGATGTTTGTCTTTACTTTCTTTTGCATCTAGCTTGAGCTTCTCAGCAAAATTCCCATGGCTTCTGACACACCCCAAACCAAACCCTTCATTTCTATGTTTTACCTCCTTCTAACTCTCTAACACCTTTTTAGCTCACACTCTGTTAAGCTAGAAAATATTTCATAAAATTGGATGCATCCTGCATAAATAATTAATGTAGGCAATTAATGAAGAAGCCATCTTTTTTGGTGAACTCAATGCTAACATGGTTTACAGTTCCGATAAACTTCTTCCAATGTCAGTCCTTTGTCTTATTTATTTATTTTATTTTTTTGATTTTTTTTAAATGTCAAATTAATGTGAGGGTAAAAAACAATTAGGTTACAGTGTTTGCATTGGTTAGGTAAAGTCCTGTTGTGGTTGTGTTCTGCCCACAGAAGGAGGGCCGTGGACCCTTACACTGTGTGCATTAGGTGGGAGCTCACCAAGCACTTCAATTTAATGGTTACTGGATCTTTGCTGTTCATTGGGAAATCCTGGAATGTACTTAACCACCTGCTTACAAGGTATTGAGTTTATGGGGGTGACTAAATGAAGCTTGAACATTTACTGTAAGGAAATCATGCAGATATATGGGAGATATTTATTGTAATGTAGGACGAAGTAGCAGCACCCAAAATGTAAGAATTGGAGCAGGACTGCATCTAAACAGGTGTAGCCACACTCCTATTGGTCCCCATCATTGGTCAACACCTCCTTTGACTAGTGTGTGTCTCTTCATTCTTGAGCAGCTCTCTAGAGGATGATGACGCTAATCTGCTAATTCAGGTAGCACTTGGCAGCTTACAGAGCATTTTCAGACGTGTCATCCTTTAAATGTTCTCCACAATTCAATGAAATAGGCCTTATTATTGGCTATTTCAAGTCTGAAGAAAAGGAACTTAATTACATTGACTCAAGATAGCTAGTTGAGAAAGGCTGGTCTTCTTCCTCCCAGTATGTGTCTGGGTTTTGCTTTGGTTGGCTGTCCGGCATATACTTCCATTTCCTCCTTCATGGGGGGACAGCAGATTATCACCAATATATGTGGCTCTCAAAGACCCAGCATCCCACTGTGGGAGCTGTAATGGACCCAATCCCTGCTTCGCCATGCCTGGCTGCAAGGGCACAGCTCATGACCTGGGATCAATAAGTTTGTGGCCTAGGACTTTGAATCCTGAGGGAGAAAAATGCAAAGATAAAGGAACATTAAGAATATATGGGGCTGTGCCTGTGGCTCAGTGGGTAGGGTGCAGGCCCCATATACTGAGGGTAGTGGGTTCGAACCTGGACCTGGCCAAACTGCCACAAAAAAATAGCTAGGTGTTGTGGCGGGCACCTGTAGTCCCAGCTACTTGGGAGGCTGAGGCAGGAGAATCGCCGGGGCCCAGGAGTTGGAGGTTGCTGTGAGCTATGAAGCCACAGCTCTCTACCAGGGGCAATAAAGTGAGACTCTGTCTGTAAAAAAAAAAAAAAGGATATGTGGAGAACTTGTTAGGTACATCTGGCAATGATGGCTGGTTTTTATTTGTAGGTTTTTGCCGGGGTCAGGTTTGAACTCGCCACCTCCAGTATATGGGGCCAGCACCCTACTCCTTTGAGCCACAGGCACTGCCCTGATGGCTGGTTTTTAAAAGACCCCAAATCAGAATGTTTATTATATCTCAGTTCACAATTGCCAAGATGTGGAAACAACCCAGGTGCCCATCAACCCAGGAATGGATTAACAAACTGTGGCATATGCACACCATGGTGTACTATTCAGTCATAAGAAAAGATGGAGACTTTACATCTTTTGTATTTACCTGGATGGAGTTGAAACACATTCTTCTTAATAAAATACCTCAAGAATGGGGAAAAAAGTATATGTACTCAATACTACTAAGAAACCAATGTATAAACAACTACACGTCCACACTAAAGAAAAACATAAGTATAGTCTGAGGAGGTAGAGTGGGAAAAGATGGAGCCAGGAGGGTGAAGAGGGGAGGACGACTAGGGGGATCTCACCTAACGTGCACCTGTGAGGGTGTTCAGTACACCGCCTGGGTGAAGGGCTCAACTACAACTTGAATTTTACCTTAGAAATGAAAACAATGTGACCTAAACATTTATATCCTCATATTAACTTGAAATTAAAAAATAAAAATAAAAAACACCCAACAGTGAACATGGAAGCCTACATACTATGAAAGTAAATCTTTAAAAGTTATAAATCAACCTAACAAATTGTTTAATAATATAATATATATTTTTATACATGAACAGAGAGTGCCAAAAAAAAAAAAGTATACACATCTTAAGAAGGGAAAAAACTGTGTTAAAATCATAATAATATACACTGATAACGTTTATTATCTTTGTATTGTATCTCCTATAATTGCAGAAGTCAAATGTGACTTGAGTATGCAATTTTAATACATTTTTATCCTTTCTGAAAGTGTATATGCTTTCTTTAGCCACCCTCTGTAGATTTGGAAAATGTGCCTTCGTAGAAACCCAGGTGACCACGCTTGAACTTAGAATTCTCAGATACAGTGGACTTGTCTGCCAGGTTCTGGAAGCTTATGGGTAGTGGCCCTGCTGTTCTGTCCCAGTCTTCTTTCTCTCTTTCCTTATTCTCCCACTCCTCCCTCTGTCTGGCTGTATAAGGAGTTTGTGCCTACACAAGTGGACATCCTGAACTACAGATCCAGGCTCCATCCATATCCCTTGACAGAAGACAGAGCCTGGGGCCACCCCTTTGTACGTGGTCCACACTCAATGGCTGGAGCCTGCTCTAGAAGTGGATCCAGAGTTGTCTGTGCAAAGAATTCTGGGGTCATGTATATCGAGATTATGGTCAGGAAGGCTGAGCCCAGGCTCTGGGTAACATGTCCCCTTAACTTCATAGGTTCTGGTCTCATGGCAAAGGCCATTGTCCAGAAGAAGACCAGAGTGAGCCCTGTGAAACCCAGAGCCCAAGGCATCTGCGCTGGTGCTGGGTGGTGGCAACCCATGTGGGAACTCATTGCTCCTTGTCTTCTAGAACTCATTTGGTTCTTGCTGTTTTTTTAGGTAGGTCCTTATGCCTCATCTCCCATTCATTGAGCCCTCTAGGCATTTCCAGTTGGGTTCTTTGGCTTAAAATATCCAACCTCATTTTTTGCTGCTTGCACCTTGTTGGTAATGCAGTCTGTCATGTTTCCTCAGGGTGAGCAGTGAGGGGTTGAAATAGCTAATAGGAATCTGAGCAAAGAGAGGTATCACCCGTCCACTGTGATGAATATTCCACTACCACCTTGGAAAAACAGGGAACCACATTCTGCCTTCCTATATATTCCCTTGGGCTCACCATCTCTGACCATCTTCCTAAAAGAGTAACATCAGAGAACTGCTCTGGGGGCATGTTGAGAGGGTGACTCATTTCTTTGCTCTGGTTACTGTAACACTAAAATGCTAATTATTTTTTTATTTTTTATTTATTTTTGTTTGTTTTGTTCTCTGTTTTTATGCCAGGGGAGAGCTTGAACATGGTCCCTCCTACCACAAATTATGCAGTTGAGTTTCCCACATTTGGGGAAATCACGGGGGTCCGCACATCTGGAGTGCAATGGAAAAGCCTCACCCTGGGTAAATCTCCTTCGTGATCATGGCGGCATCTTTCCTGCCAGGCAATTATCCAAAATGCTATTTTTTTCCCCTTAAATTTAAAATATCTTATAGATTGTTAAATCAATAGATACCCATGACTGGAAAGACTTGCAAATCTAGAAAAAAAAAAGAAAGAGGCAGACTCATAATCATATAATCATACCAACCAGGGGGAATAACTACCAGTATTATTAACAGATAATTTTATGTTAATGTATGTCTTAAATAAATCACACTTTACATACTCCTTTAAAACTGTTTTAGTCATTAAACTCTATAGTATAAGCACTTTCATTTAAATAGGCATTTCTATAACTTTTTCAGATGGGTGACTATTGAATTACTGAATGATGTGAAATTGTCTAACCCAGAGCTCACTGTTGGACATTGTGGTTGTCTTACATTTTGGTTATTAGAACCATTATTAATAAACATTGTTGAAGTGAAAACCTTATATACATGCTCAATCATTTCCAAGAATATATTTTTATAAATGAAATATTCATTACAAAGACTTTTCTTATCTACAGTAATTGAAGACTATTTAAAAACCTTGTAAACCATGCAAAGAGTAATTATATTTTAAACAGTGTTCATTTGGCATATATTTCAATTAAGAGTTAGCAAAGTGGCCGGGTGCAGTGGCTCAGGCCTGCGATCTCTGAACTCTGGGAGGCTGAGATGAGTGGTTTGCTTGAGGTCAGAGATTCCAGACCAGCTGGAGCAAGAGTGAGAGCCCGTCTCTACTAAAGGAAAAAAAAAATAAGCAAAGTATGATTAAAATCCAGGATTATTCCAAGTTCCTGTATTAGTTCAATTTCTTCCACACACTACACTGTGGCAAGATCTTCAAACGGGAACATGAAGATTTCTTTCACTGAAGAGGGACCCACTTTGCTGTTTCTCTTTCTTTTTTTAAAAAACGGCTATATTGAGGTATAATCCACACACCATCCAAGTCACCCATTTAGAAGTATTATTTAGTCACTGTGATCATATTTAAGAGCTGTGCTGCCATCATCACAATCAGGGTAAGGATTTTGAGTTTTCTCTGAGAGGAAGGAAGGAGGGCAAGATGGCTGACGAGAGTCCCCCAGCTTGTCCCTGAGTCCCACCTTCAACAACTGCCCCCATACAAAAGCTCCTTCAGAGGAACCAAGGATCAAGTGAGTAATCATACTACCTGGTTCTAACATTATATCAAGGAGGTCTGGAAGAAGGCAGAAAAGAATGTGGCATCACCTGGGCTGTCACCCCCACACGCCACCCCTCCCTCCTTCTCACTGTCAGTGTCAGTGCTATGACAATGATCAAGTGGGGAGGAGGAGGGGCAGGGAGGGGACTATGGGACAAGGCGGGGGGGGGGACAGCACAGGGTGCCCACAAGGAAGTGTCTACACTGGCCCAGTCATAGGGGACCCTTCTGGCCTGAGGCCATGGTGTTGCTGGTCCTCCCACCCACTGATGGAAAAGAAGCAAAATTCTGTAAAATAATTTAAAGAGGTGTATTGTGACCCAACTTGGAGGACCATGATCCAGAGCCACACCCAAGAAACTTTGAGCAAGAGGGCTGGAAGTGGTGGGGTGACAGTTTGCTTGATAGATTTCAGGGAGATGGGAATTATGGGTAAAGTCATAAATCAATACTCAGAAAATATATTGGTTTGGTCCCCAAAAGGTAGGACATCTCAAAGCGGCAGGGTTATAGGTTAGAGGTGGTTTTAAAGATTCTTTGGGTGACTTATGAGTGGAATTGTACAGTGTATGGTCCCGTGCGACCGTCCTCTTTCCCTTAGCAGATTGCAGAGTTCATTCATTTCGTGGCACGCGTCAGTGCTTCATTCCTTTTCATTGCTGAATAATGATAGTCCATGGTAGGCGTATGCCTCATTTATTTGTTCAGAAGTCAGATAGACATTGGGTTGTTTCCACGCTGGGGCTGTTGTGAGTAATGCTACTGTAAGCATCATTATACAAATTTTTGTGGAGACACATATTTTTATTTTTCTTGGGCAAGTACTTAGGAGTGAGATTGTTTGACCATATCAAACTCTTTACTTATCTGTGTGAGGACTGTTTTCCAAAGAAGTTGAAACGTTTTCCAAATCCACCATCAGTGTATAAGGATCCAATTTCTCCAATTTCTCTACATCCTCATCAGCACTTGTTATTTTCTGCTTTGTTTTTTCTTTTTTTTTTTTTTGCAGTTTTTGGCTGGGACTGGGTTTGAACCCACCACCTCTGGCATATGGGGCCAGGATCCTACTCCTCTGAGCCACAGGTGCTGCCCTATTTTTTGCCTTTGTTATCACTGCCCCCTCGTTTGTGTGAAGTGGTATCTCGTTTGGGCTCATCTGCACGTCCCTGATAGCTCAATATAAAGTTTCTTTCTCTCTCTCTCTCTTTAACATTAGCCTTTTTTAAAAGTCCAGGAATAATAAAATAAAGATGTAAACTTCATTTCACAATGTTTTATGTTGATAATTTAATTGATTTTCTTTTAAAATTATTTTTTTTGATGAGTTAATCCAACTCAATCTGTGGACTTTTAGTGACTGGGGTTTCTAAAAAATATTATGTGCTTAATAGATGACAATATAACTAAAAATTATTCTGCTTTCTTATAAATGTAGACATTAATCGTTAGCTCTCTGTGGCTTCCAAGAATTTGTCATTTATTACTTTGTCAAGAGTTATGACGAAGATTCGGTCATTTTCTGTTAACAAAAAAGCATTAGATATCCCTCAGTTCAGAATGCTATTTTCCCTGATGGGAAAATTGATAAAATATCCCTGTAAAAGATGCATGACTTAGCAGACCTAAAACTTAGATTCATTAAAAATTTTTTATTTTGAGTGCTTAAAAATTTAATTAAAGGTAAATTTTTACTGTTAATATTTAATTCAGCTCAAAGGAGTACATTCAATATGAATTAACAGTGATGTAATTTCAAATAAATTCAGCATGGTGAAACATTTGAGTGTTGAAAGTTAAATCTTGCTGCAACAGAAAAAATAACTCCATGACAATAATTTAAAAAGTATATGCAAATAAACAGGTAGTTTTATTTTATGATATAAAAACAGCATTCGGCCCCTAAGGTCACAAACTTTAATACACTTGAGACTTTGAGCAAAAACTGGGGGAACAGAGCAGTGAATTTGCTTTCAATACAAAATCCACATGCATATATTATAGGTCTCAAGTGGATTTGCAGAAAATCTTGTTCTCAAATGGATAAAAGTATGCAAACTTCTTTGAATCCAAAAAACAATATTCAGAGGGCAGTATCTGAGGTGTAGGCTAGAACAGGTATTTAACAGCAAACTTAGAGACAGGTCACAGAGCCAGCAACAGAATTCAGCTTTATTATTTATTTATTTACTTATTTATTGAGACAGAGCCTCAAGCCATCACCCTGGGTAGAGTGCAGTGCCATCACAGCTCACGGCAACCTCCAACTCCTGGGCTTAAGTGATTCTCTTGCCTTAACCTCCCAAGTAGTTGGGACTACAGGCACTCGCCACAACGCCCAGAATTTTTTTTTTTTTTTTTTTTGTACTTGTCATTGTTGTTTGGCAGGCCCAGCATGGATTTAAACCTGCCAGCTCTGGTATATGTGGCTGGCGTCTTAGCCGCTTGAGCTACAGGCGCCGAGTCAGAATTCAGCTTTATATTGATATATATTCTAAGAAAAGATTTTGGTTCTCTATTGTAGCAAGGGCAAGACTGACAGGGATTCAGAGCTAATCTCTTGACTTCTGGGGAACAGATTGGACAGTTGACATGCTCAGACTGAAAGATTCTTAATAAACCTGAGAAAAGAGTGGCCCTGAAGACATGCTGAGATTCCTACAGAATTGTGTTCCTAGCTTTGATCTTTGTATAGCCACGTGGCCTTGAGAAAATTGCTCTATCTCTCTGGTCCTAATTTTTCTCATAAGTAAGATGAAGACAATTATATATACCAAGGTTAGTGTACGGGTTAAATGGAATAATGTATGCATAAGCAATTACTCCAGTGTGTCCCTCCAAGTATAATTAGGCCTGACCCTGCTTAGCTTCCAAGATCAGACAAGATCAGGTGGTATGGCCATAGACAACTGTGATATTCTCATTGTTTTTGACATAATAGGCATTCAAAAATATTAACAAATTGAGTACTCATTCTGTGCCAGGGACTTTTTAAATGCCTTATTGACACATAATACTTCAGATCAACCCTTAAGGAGGGTATAGTGTTGTCTTTTAACAAATAAGGCACAGAAATTATAGTACAGAAAGGTTCAGTAAGTTGCCTAAGGTCACACAGCTTCTAAGTAGTGAGCAGCGCAGGGTATGTATGTGACTTTCAGTGTTCTGACACAAGAATGCATTTTAGTGTATAATTATTTTGGTACCCAAATTAAATGACTGTCTTGAAAATTTGTTTTGAATAATAAATCTAGGAAATAGAAAATTAAGGAAAAATGGTTTATCTCATGAGTTTCATAGTCATCTTGGGTAAGATGATTTAATGAAATGTTTTCTGACAGAGGTCACATAGCAGGGTTAATGTAGTATTTCAGCCAGATGAGTTAACTTGGACTAACTAATTTGCTGGTCCTAAAGATGGTAACTCATACTCTAATGAGTACCTCATTTTTGGCTTTTAGAATCAAAGAGGAGAGTCAGCATCCTGCTATTAAAAATTAATTAAATTAAAATTAAAATTTGAGTTTAAAAATTCACAACTCAGTCACAAGATCTTTTACCCGGTCTGAAAGTATATTACTTGCCAAGGCACTGAAGGTCAAACCCTAAAATTGAGACTGTCAGCGTGCACCCCAAATCTCTGGAATGACGCCTCCCAGTGTGAGCGAGGAGGGTGGGGGCAGGGGTGCTCCTGCCCTCCTGAAGGAACGGCTGGTGACACAGCCATGTCTATGGAGGTTCATTCTCTGCTCTGCCTATTCAGGGATTCCAGGGAGTTTCTCCAGAGCAATTTATAGACCTGAGCCCTGGAATTGGTCTCAAGACCTCTCCTA